CAAAAGAAAATTTCAATGGAATGTTTTCAGACAATGGAATGTTTTCAGACAAAATTTCAATGGAATGTTTTCAGACAATGGGTTCCATTGCCCATAAAAATGGAGAGGAAATTTAGAGAAAAACACAGTGTGGGCCATTTTAAAAAAGGTTAAAAAACTTGTCTTTTGGTGATGTACTCTCGACACAATGCTTCCTAAAATAGTGATTATGTTTGTTTTACTAATGGTTTGTTGACTGAGAAGCCAAGGGATTACAGTTAGACAATCATCATTCAACAAGATTACTGTATGCACAAGCAGCGTTATCTAAAGTCACTACTTCTGGCTTTATCAGCAACTGTAAAACACCATTGTTCCCTCCATTTTCATAAATGTTAAAATGTGAAAAATGATGCGCATAGTAGAGCTAAAATATGGTAATGTTAATGCTAATAGCTAGCCTTTCAAGAGTGACTGCCATGTGTCAGGTACTACTTAAATTATTAACATAATCCTATAAAGTAGGTGTTATTGAAATACAGCTAAGCATTAAACAATTTGTTTGAAGGCAGACATCTAGCAAGTGGTAGAGAGGGTGTTTAAAATTGGTTCTCTGTCATTTCACAGTGCATATTTTACCCATAGGTATCAGGTTATAAATATTTAAACAGCAAATACCAAAAGAGGGGGTCACTCAATCACATGAAAAAAGATAATCTCTTCATCAGCAATTTTCCTTGAATAATAGACAGAGCAAAGAGCAATTGTGTGAACAAATGTCAGGCTTATATATTTGTGTATTATCACAAAACTTTCAGAATGGGAGATAAAATATTGTCTATTTGAGGAAGAGAGAAAACTGCTAGATCAGCTAGAAGCTGCAATGACTGCAGAAGAAACATTTTCTGGAAAATGCCATATGTCACAAATAACCACTTAATTTTTCCCCAAATAAACAAAACCTCTGCAATTTTCAAAGAGAGGGAAAGTTTATCTATACTTAATGTATAGAAAAGAGCAAATGTGGACAAAGGAAAGTACACATTTTGTTTTGCACGGGTTTTGTTTTCATTAATTTCACATTCTTTTCACATCCATGGATCTCTGTCTCATCAAAATGAGTAACTAATATGAACATAATGCACCTTTGGCTTAAGCTTATTAATGTTAAACTATCTTCTATAGTTTGAACCAAAGTAGTTAATAAAAAGCATTAAACTGATTCTTCTGGGAAAAATCTCTTTCCCTGCCTTCACAAAGACACCGATTTTTCCCCAGAGCTATGTTTATGTGCATGTAGAGACTTCAACATGCCCTCAAGAATAACTTCGTTGGTCCTGATCGGATAGCTCAGTTAGTGTTGTCCTGATATGCCAAGGTTGTGAGTTCAATCCCTGGTCAGGGTATATATAAGAATCAACTAACGAATGCATAAATATGTGGAGCAACATATCAATGTTTCTCTCTCTCTCTCTCTCTCTCTCTCTCTCTCAAATAAATAAATAAATAAATGAATAAATAAATGAATAAATAAATGAATAAATAAATAAATAAATAAAACTTTGTTGGCAGACATTAAACAAAGCCACAGGGCTAAGTGACATACTCTCTGTGTTTGCACCTTAGGAGAAAACATAGGGGAAAAGCTTATTGACATTAATTATGGAAATAATTTTTTTGGATACCATACCAAAAACACAGACAACAAAAGAAAAAATAACAGTTGGGGATTACATCAAACTAAAAAGCTTCTGCACAGCAAAGAACAATCAACATGGTGAAAAGACAACTTACAGAATAGGAAAAAAAATATTGGCAAACTGTATATGTAATAAGAGATTAGTATCTAAAACATGTAAGAAGCAAAATCAGTATTTTGAAGAGGTATCTGTACTCCCATGTTTATCTCAGGATAATTCATAATAGCTCAGATATGGAAATAACCTAAGTGTTCATCAATGTATGAATGGATAAAGAAAATGTAACATATGTATATATAAATGTATATGTATATAGAAACACAAATGCAAATGAATGTTATTCAGCCATAAGAAAGAAGAAAAATCTACCATTTATGACAACATGGATGAATATGGAAGACATTATGCTAAGTGAAATAAGCCAGACAGAGAAAGAAAAATACTGCACAATCTCATTCACAATGTGGAATCTAAAAAAAAAAAAAAAGTAGAGCTCATGGAAACAGAGTAGAATGGTGATTGCCAGGGGCTAGGGCTGGGGAAAATTAAGTGGTATTGGTCAAAAGGTACATACTTTCAGTTACAAGATGAATCAGTTCTGGGAATATAATGTTTAGCTTGATGACTATAGTTAAGAATACTATATTGTATGCTTGAAATTTGCTAAGAGAGTAAATTTCAAGCATTTTCACAACACAACAATAAAAAGTAACTATGTGTTAATTTGATTGTGAAAATCATTGTACAATAGGTAGATATATCAAATCATCACATTGTACACTTTAAATAAATATAATTTTGTCAGTTAGACTTCAGTAAAGCTGGAAGAAATCATCACATTGTACACTTTAAATAAATATAATTTTATTTGTCAGTTAGACTTCAGTAAAGCTGGAAAAAAGATTTAGTTTAAAAACAAAAGATGCATAATTGCTGTTGATGTCTTCCCAAACAACATGTTCAAAGAGAAAGAAGTTTTCATAAGCTGTGCACACCGTGTGTGTGTGTGTGTGTAGTAATGTATACATTTTAAAATAAATGAAACTGAACCATAAAATATTACTTTTTCAATAGAAAAAATATATAAACAACATCAAATGGCAGGGAAAACTTGGTACTATCAAGTACTTTATTTTTAGCCACTCCATTAACATGCTAATATCAGGGTTTTATTTAAGGGACATCTGAATTGTATTGAAATATTTTAAGGTAAACATTCTGAATGCCAGAGCTTAATCTTATATTAACTAAAAAAATTGTATTTTGGGCTTTATGCTTGTCTAATGATGTTGACTCTTCCTTATAGGTAATTCATTTAGTTGACTAATAGACACACAGATATAGCAAATATGTAATGTTTAACAAGTAGAGACCCAGTAATAAGGAATATCATAAACCCAGAATAACAATCCTGAATCAACATCAGTTAGCCTGATCTGTGTACATTATAAATGAAAACAAGAGCACTGTTCTACAATAACCTCAGCTTTATGAATAAACTATAAGTTTTCTGAGAATATAAGCTGGAAATGATTCAGTGGTAAGCACTGTGTCCTCGGGTATTCATAAATTCTTTTGTGGGCTTTGCCTATAAATGTCTCTATATTTTTAAAGAGTATATTTCAAGTATTCTAATATGCAGAGGAAGTCTGCACTTTTCCATACTAAGTAACAGGGGAAAAGCTTTAGAGTAAAACCATTTTTCTCACTTTGTATAAGTTCACTGCATTTTTATTGTAGACTACTGCTCCATCCCCCCATTAGCTCCAAGTTGTATGAAAATTATACCTTTTTCTGTTTCCATGCATAAAAATACCCAACATGTAAACCTTATATTATCAACTGGAGTCCATGGACCAACAGCAATGGCATCACCCCACAGCTTGTTAGAAATGCAGGTTCTTGGTCCTCCCCACCCCCCAGACCTACTACATGAGAATCCGCTTTATGATCCCCAGGTAATTCTAATACGCAGCAAGTCTGAGAAGCACTAATTTACGGCACTTCATTAATTGACCTGATTTTCTGTAAGTTAACTCTATCTAAACAAGCGGTATAAAGTATTCCACATGCGTTCTTTACTTAGCAATAGTCAAGATTTAGTGTGTAACAAAATCACCAATGGCACTTGTTAAAAATACAGATTTTCAAGTTTTTCCTCAGAGTTTAAAATTCACTAAGTCTGCAGTCAAGCCTGATTTCCCCAAACCACGGCTCTCCTGAACTGATTTAAAGTTAATGATAATGTCAATTCCGGTTAACAGCTCCAAATCATAGCAAAATACCTGTAAGAAGAAAATCACATCCAAGCTGTTTCAGTCAAATTTTTTAATGTTTTGAATTCTTTCTGAAACTGTGAATCACAGAATAAAAAAATTGGTATTAAGTGTGCGTAGTTCCATTCCTAGAACATGATGAGATCATTTTTTCTTTTTTTTCAACCCAACCTCCAAAAGGAATACCATTATTTCAGCCAATGGATAACAAAGCAATTTACTAGAGACCTGCCCCCACTGGAATCAACCACTTCTTGTTCTAGAAATAAGATCAATATATTCTGCAAAGTACTTATAACTCTCCAGAGGCCGCAAACAAATGCACCAGGAGCCATCAGGTAACCAATGTGATACCCCAATTACAGACATTCAAGTTAAAAAACCCCCAAACCTCTTAGAACAAACAAGAACACCCCTGAGTGGGCGGGGGTGGGGGGTGGGGGGGGGTGGTATTCTGCCCAAACCCTGTTGATTTCTGGAATCTGTACCAACACATTTTTTCTAGTTAATTCTCTGGTTACGTACATACCTTAGAGCATATTTTTATTATTAATTTGCTTGCATGGTTTACTTTGAGACTTTTGAGAACTTGGTTGTAGTTCGGATTTCACTTGCAGCAGCAAAACATGGTGATACACCAACCTTATAATCGATGCCAGGCTGCTGAAGCCACATGGGTTTTTAAAGATTCGGCCAATAAACCAGAGCTGATAGCGCTGGGTTTGCATAGCCCTATTTTTTTCTAACAAGCTTTGTCGTGTAGCCACACAGAAGATGTTCAGTTTGCATTCTTCTATATCACACTACATACCGTCTTCAGAGAAAAAACGATCAGAATTTTTGTGAAGCGCCCGTCCCCATTTCACTTGTTACTGCTTGTTATATATACTAGTAAGTGTCCAGTGCTCATTTACTTTGGTGCCTTGAGGCTGCCTGATGATAAACAATGTAAGATGTCCTTGTCTTAAATTTGGAAAACTCACTGTTTCCAAATTTCATCCAGAGGTATTTTTATACAACTTCTGAAATAAAAAAGCAGACCTGCTCACATGTTCACTATGTACTTTTATTTTAAACACGGGCACAACAAACACAATGACATGACAAGACTGTTACCTCAATAATACTGATAACATTCCTTGACAAGTTGGCTTATAATTTACATACATTATTTTTATCTGGAGTTAATTCTAAATATTATCTTAAGCTATACTGTAGAACACAAACCTTAAACATATGCCAGTTGCAAACATAATGTGCTTAGTTACTATTTTTCTTGTTATTTAAGCGAAATGATTTAAAGTTCCTCGAAATCATGTCCATTTGTGTTCATTATTTCGGGATGCATGACTCGTCCCATGAACAGGATTGTTCCTGCATTGGGTTGGAAGTAAACAAAAGAGGGGATAAACAACAAAAAAAGATATTTATGTTTAAAAAGGGATATTTATTTGTCTTCTTTCTTACAACAAGCAATATTCTAAAAGTGAAAATATGTTATATTCATTTTTTCAAGTATCACTTAGACATTAGAAATTATCCAATAAACAATGTGGGGAAATGTTCTCAATTTTACGAACTTATTCTCTTTAGCCTATTAAAAAAGTTCTGTTCTCATAACAGACTTACCTGTTTTCCTATTCCTGATAAGAAAGAAAAATGGATGGTCCACAATCACTTGAGGATACAGCACAGCCATCCTACTAATGGCAATCATTCCTAAGTGCAGAGAGAAGGTAATTACCTGTCTGTGATGTGCAGGGACTAATGAGTAATTTCTCCAAACCATCTATATTTAATGCAAAGGCAATGGTTTACGGGAAACATGACTTTAAAGACTTAAAGAGAAAAATTATAAAGGTGCTAACATTTCTACTTGACTTTGAACACATACACCCCCCACATACACCACATAGTTTCCTATCTCTACCCCATCAAAATATAACAGGACAATTTATTCTGCCACTTACAAAACTTTAGTCACAGTCTTAGATAAATACTTACGTTTTTACTAAAATGATCTTTCAGTTAAAGGAAGAGAGAAGAAAAAAAACTAAAAAAAACTAAGAGGTTTTTTTTTTATATTCTCAAATTATTATTTCTTTAGTCTGAAATGGGTCTTTTTACATAGCAAATCCCCAGGCTTCTAGTAAGTGGCCAGAATGGCAGTGATTAAAGGGAAAATACAGCAGTGAGAGACTCAATGTGTTTCCTACAGCTGGGAAACTGAATTTCTCTGAGATCCTTATTATAAATGACTGTTTTATACTTGCTGCTGGGTGATTCAATTGTCAGAAAAGGTCACTATTAAATTATGTGAGTGTTAAGCTTTCTTGATGCCTGAGACTACTGTGTTTCTATTTCCTTCTGAAAATGTTGTTTCAACTCGTGCTATCCTTCAAATGGACAAATTTATGCAAAGGTAGAAATAATGTATGCAAATATGATATTACATTTGGAAACAAATCCAACCAAATAAAAGGAGAAAAAAAAGGCAATTCTCATTTAACTAGGGAAGTCAGAATAATCGAAATGATCAAGGATCTTTGCCATTTTTGGTTTGTATGCATGGTTTATTCAAATTCCTTGATTGTTTATTTAAAATTATTATTTCATTGGTATTATTATTTAGTTAAAATTATTTATTACATTCTATCAGATACTCTTGTTTATGTATGTGCTTTTAAAATAAAAGCTTTTTAAAATATATATATTTTTATCTATTTCAGAGAGAGAAAGGAGAGGAAGAGAGAAAGAAACATCAATGACAGAGAAACATTCATCGCCTGCTCCTATATGGCCCCTACTAGGGATCGAGCTGATAACCAGGACATGTGCCCTGACTGGGAGTTGAACCCTGACCTCGAGGTGAACCATGACTTCCTAGTTCATAGGTGGATGCTCAACCACTGAGCCACACTGACTACAGAGAGAGAAAGGAGAGGAAGAGAGAAAGAAACATCAATGACAGAGAAACATTCATCGCCTGCTCCTATATGGCCCCTACTAGGGATCGAGCTGATAACCAGGACATGTGCCCTGACTGGGAGTTGAACCCTGACCTCGAGGTGAACCATGACTTCCTAGTTCATAGGTGGATGCTCAACCACTGAGCCACACTGGTTGAGCTAAAATCAAAACTTCTCACTGACAAAATTATAAACTAACTTCCACAAGTAATTAGGTAGGAAGAAAAATGTTTACATGGGCAGCAGGGAAAATTTTAAGATAGTGAAACAGGAAGCAGAGCAGGAAAATCTATCCTACAGAGCTGACAATGCCCAGCGCTTATTTATTAGAGAGAAAACGGGACATGGGAACTACCGCACATGGGGCCCAGGAGTGACTACACGCTTCGTAGCTTACTTAGAAAATTCTACCTGCTTCAGCATTAGCTAGACTTCTAAGTGAGAGCCGAGCCAGAGCAGTCATTTTTTTGGCTTGGCTCTAAAAATGACCCCTGCCCCCTACCCATGACTGCTTCAAAAATACAAATCTAAAAATGGTGAGACGATTGTAGAGAAGAACTGGGCACCTGAGGTGGCGGCAGCCTCCGAGCCCTCTTCATTCACCTCGATGAAGGACTTGTGAATTGCCTTGGAGAGGAAAATCTCCTTATTATCTGCAGAAAAGAGAGGACGGAAGCATTCTTCAGTATCAGAGATAGGAAAGCCTTTAACTCTTTAGTTAAAAAGATTTGAAAAGTATAAGAGACATACTATACTGATAGTATATAAACATAATTATATCAAACATAGAAACATTGTAAGATTACATTTACGATTTGAGAGAAGCATCGAAGATGTGTATTCTGATTAGTCCTCATTTTATATTCTCTTTTCCCTGCAGTAATTTTCCCATTGTTTATTTTCTGTAAGCCAGAGGAAGTGGAAAGTGGCTCTGCTTTAATAGCAACTTCAGATTAGTTCATAGCTCAATATAAAAATATCTTACATGTTGCATTCTAACTTAAAAGTTAAAAACACAAATGAAAATAGGTAGAAATCCAGATATAACCAAAATAAGAGATTAAAAAAATCTAATTTCTAATTACTATGGTAATGTAAATATCTTTGGCAAAGAACAATAAAAACAATTTCTAAGTTGTAGAAATGTGAATACATAAAGAAGTTACTTTCCATTATCAGTTCATTGGTTTATCTGAGGATTACCCTAAAGTCAGAGGAAATAACACATTTTCAGTATTAACAGGACTGCTTTTGACTTTGAATTGTCTTTCTATATACACTTACTTTTTAAAAAATATATATTTTATTGATTTTTAAAGAGAGGAAGGGAGAGGGATAGAGAGTTAGAAACATTGATGAGAGAGAAACATCGATCAGCTGCCTCCTGCACACTCCTTACTGGGGATGTGGCCGCAACCAAGGTACATGCCCTTGACCGGAATTGAACCTGGGACCCTTGAGTCCGCAGGCCGACGCTCTATCCACTGAGCCAAACCGGTTAGGGCATATATACACTTACTTTTAAATAAATGGCTGTAATCTGGTGAATTGTGTTCTCTCAAAATTCATATGTTGAATTCCTAATCCCCAAGACTTCAGAATGTAACTATATTTAGAGATAGACTCAAGTTAAAATGAGGTTAAACAAATATTACTGTGTCCTCTTAAGAAGAGGAAATGTGGACACAGATAGGTACAGAGGGAATGATTGTTAATTTTACATATCAACGTGACTGGGCCATGATATTTTTGCAGATATTTGGCCAAAAAACATATTCTGTGCATTTCTGTGAAGAGGTTTTCTAGATGAGATTAATATTCACATGGGTGGACTTCGAGTAAAGCAAACTACCCTCATAATGTGGGTAGGTCTCATCCAATCAGCTCAAGACCTTACTAGACCAAAGACTGACCTCCTCTGAGCAGGAAGGAAATGTGCCAGACTACTGCCTTTGGACCCGAACTGAAACTTCCCTCTGGGTCTCCATTCTGCCAGCTTATCCTTTATATTGTGAATTCCCAAAGTCTTCACACTGTGGGAGCCAATTCCTTAAAATAACTTTCTCTCTCTCTGTCTCTCTCTCTCTCTCCCTCTTCTTCTCCTTCTCCTTCTTCTTTTTCTTTATCTCTCTTTCAATAAGTAGTAGATAGATACATACATACATCATACATACATACATACATGCATGCATACATACATACATGAGAGAGAGATAAAGATAGAGATTTTTCCTACTGGTTCTGTTTCTCTGGAAAACCTTGACAACATGTGAAGCCATAGGGAGAAGGCAGCCATCTACATGCCAAGGAAAGAGGACGCAGAAGAAACCCACCCTCAAGACACCTTGATCCCACACTTCCAGTCCCCAGAACTGTGAGAACATAAATGTCCATTGTTCAAGCCACTCAGTCTGTGGTATTTCATTATGGCAGCCCTAGCAACTATACAAGACAATAGCTTTCAACCTTGGGATTCCAATTTCCCCCAAGATTAAACAAAACAAAACGGTCCTGAAATACAAAAATAAAACATAGCACAAGGAAGCAAGATAAAGAATTACTCAAGTTTGTACCCCACCCCCTGTTTTCCCAATTGCAGGAGGTCTAATTCAAACCTAAGATAAATAACTTTGTTGCTGATGCCCAGCACCATTCAGTAAAAGTGCAATTGATTTCTCATTAGGCTGTTAAGTAAGATTTTATAAGTAACCAAGTCCTATCCACAACGTACATTTTCTTTTCAAGTTTTCAAAAACACAATTGTCTTAAATGGATAGGGAATGATGTTCAGCAACATTTTGGGTACATCTGTTACACAGCATCTGCTTATTTTGAATAATTCCCAAGACAACTGAGTGACATCTCTGAACATACTTTTAACAGGGATATTACTTCTTCACTCATATTTAGGATTCAGATATAAGCACTGAATTATGACTTAGTCCATCTCAAATACTATGCTATCTTCTAGAATGCATTTGATGACTGGAAGAAAAATAAAAAGTAATACATTTTTTACGTTAAACAAGTATAATTAGCTCTCTCAAATCTAAAAGACTCATTGTTTTTTTAACAAATAAAAAGAAACAGTAAACTCTATCAGTAGTTAACTGATGCCGTATTATTTTCAGACTCTGCTGCCCATATTCATCAGTCTGACAGTGAAGGGAAGGTCATCCACCAAGAGCCAACACTATGGCCCTAAATGCAAAAGTGACAGAACCCAGTTCCTAAATGGTAATGAGTGTCCACATTGCCAGCTAAGTCCTCTTCAAATACTGAGGGGAGTTCTCAACAATACCATGTGGTATGTCAGCCATATCAATTCGCCCAGAGGAAACCGCCTCCAATAGCTCCTGAGCCTGATCTGCCAGCTGTACAAGCATCTTGAAAGAAGGAATGTTGCCCCTTCAACTCTGACCTATGTCCTAAGTGTACCTTCTCTAGTCACCGAATCTCTCATATGCTCTCAGTTACCCACACAAAGTGCTGGCGAGGGAAGGGGCACTGCTAGGTATTGTGACAGAAAGATCAAGAAAAAAAGGGTGCTGAGGGTTCTTGCAAGAGAGTGTTATATAAAAAGATAATGAAATGCATCTATATATATAAAAGCCTAAGTGACCCTTATGATGGAATGACTGGAACGACCAGAATGACCGTTGTTCACCAGAATGACCAGTCGCTATGATGTGCACTGACCACCAGGGGGCAGACGCTCAATGCAGGAGCTGCCCCCAGCTGGCAGGCCCTGATCACCAATGGGGCCTGCCGGCCAACATCCCGGTCCCTCCGGATCGGGGCCAGGCCTCCGGACTGGGATGGGGAACCAGGGGTGGGTGGTGGCGGACGCGGCCCCTTTTCCAATGGGCCAAGGTCTGGCTCCCTCCTCAGGGCCAGTGACCAGCCTCCCATGTCCCTCCCCCTGTTTCGCCCCCTGGCAGGCAGGCTCTGATCAGCCCGCCACAGTGGCAGTTGGCCCCTACCCCCAGTCGATCACCAATGGGGCCTGCTAGCCAACCTCCCAGTCCCTCCCCCGCCAGCCGGCAGGTCCCGATCGCCTGATTGGGCTGGGATGGGGAACTGGGGGTAGGTGGTGGCAGACACAGGTGGTGAGGGAAGGAGGAATGGGGGAGGCGGGGAACCACGCGGTGGTGGTGCATGGATGGCAAGGGAAGGAGGAGCCGGGGAGGTGGGAGGGGGGGAACCTGATCAGCCCTGATTGCCTGCCAGGCCTAGGGACCCCACCCATGCACAATTTTCATGCACCAGGCCTCTAGTCTTTAATAAGATGCATGAAGAAGAGAGCATTCACAGAAAAAGAGAACATATCTAAAGATACAGATGAGAATTTTAAAGAATCACAAAAATACTATGTATAATTTTCTACAGATAAACTTTATGAGGTGTACTTTATTTACTATAAACTGTATCTATTTATAATACACAGTTTGGCAAGTTTTGAGAGATGTTTACATCTGTGAACCCACCTCCACAAATAAGACATAATATTTCCATTTTCCCCCCAAAACTTTTGTGCTTTTGTATGCAGATAATTTTGAACACGTTTGCCATCAGCTAGACACTTTTATAGTAATGTATAAGTTGTAAGGTTGAACCAAGGGAAAAAAAAACAGTAGATCTCAATAATCCAGTAACCATTAAAGTACTAGTTGAATCAGTAGACAAAAACTTCCCCATCCTCAAAATTAAAAACTCCAAGCCTAAATGGTTTTCTGGGTGATTTTAACCAAACCTTCAAGGAACAGATAAAAATTTCTATTAAAAACAACATTTTAGATGCTAGAAAAAGAATAAAAGTAATCTAAGTCATCTACAGATAGTCTTACCTTGCTATTAAAATTGAGTAAGGGCAGTCTAAGGAAAAATAAATAACCAAACTTGCCTAATAACATGGAGGTATGGGGTTTTTTGTTTTTTTAAATATATTTTTATTGATTTCAGAGAGGAAGGGAGAGGGAGAGAGAGAGAGAAACATCAATGATGAGAGAGAATCATTGATCGGCTGCTTCTTGCACACTCCACACTGGGGATGGAGCCTGCAAACCGGGTATGTGCCCTCACCTGGACCATGACCTCCTGGTTCGTGGGTCGAGACTCAAACACTGAGCCACGAATGCACTGGTTATACCACAGTGAACTAAACAGTTCCTTCCTAATGGGTGAAAACAGACATTAAATGACAAGGGCAATTAAAAAGCAAATCAATAAATGACCACAATTTCAGGGTGTGGGAAGTGTAATTAAGAAATAAGATTAGGTGATGTGTTGGCCAGTGACAAGGGCAGGGAAGTGGAGCTACCTGACATTGGGCATTAGGAAAGGCATGTCCAAGAAGGTCAATTTGAGCTGAGACCTAAAGAATACAAAGGAGTCAGCCATGGGAAGACCTGAAGGCAGGGTTTCCAGTGCAGAGACACATACGAGCCAGGGGTGTTCAAGAACTCAAAAGAGGGCTTGTGTGGCGGGATGTGGGGAGTGAGCAGGGCTGGAGGTTTGAGAGAAGCCCCCACCCCGGAGCCAGCCAGTTGAGCAGCCTCCCCTCACAGCACACACCCATCCTGCATCTATGCTGGGCCCTACTCCATGCTGGGTTCTGAAGATAGAAAAAGTCTATGACATAGTCCCTGCTCCT